TCTCCAAAGGCGTTTCAGAGAATTTGGCAGTACATCCAACCGGCCTCACAACCGCAGACCCATTGAGCATGTTTGGGATGCTCTGGATCGGCGTATACGACAGCGTGTTCGAGTTCCTGCCAATATCCAGCAACTTCGCACAGCCATTGAAGAAGAGTGGACTAACATTCCACAGGCCACAATCAACAACCTGATCAACTCAATGCGAAGGAGATGTGTTGCACTGCGTGAGGCAAATGGTGGTCACACCAGATACTGACTGGTTTTCGGACCCCCCCGGACCCCCCAATACAGTAAAACTGCACATTTTAGAGTGGCCTTTTATTGTGGCTAGCCTAAGGCACACCTGTGCAATAATCATGCTGTCTAATCAGCATCTTGATATGCCACACCTATGAGGTGGATGGATGATCTCTGCAAAGGAGAAGTGCTCACTAACACAGATTTAGACAGATTTGTGAACAATATTTGAGAGAAATAGGCCTTTTGTGTACATAGAAAAAGTCTTAGATCTTTGAGATCAGCTCATGAAAAATGGGGGCAAAAACAAAAGTGTTGCGTTTATAATTTTCAGTGTATTTATGTGGAAAAAAATCTACTAGTCAGTACTTGTGATTACTGACTGTTTTTTTTTTTTTATTCTAACCATTTTTAAAGTAAAAAAAAGAGTACGTCTCCAAAATAAAATTAAAATCTCAAGAGCACAAGAAAGTGTAATATGTAAAGGGACCCTAAATATTTAAAAATTTACAAGACAAAATGCAGCTTCTGTCATTTTTTTCCAGTAAAAATCCTTGTCCTTTAACAATCTGAGAATTCATCAGAATAAAGGCATGCAACAGATTGAGAGGAGGGAGGTAATATAAATATGTCCCTCAAATTGACCAAAAAAAAAGGATGCTGCCTTTAATGTACACTGTGTAGTACGCATTGAGCAAACGAAACACCTCCCTGCAACACAATGACAGACATTAAGACGAAAATAAAACTTACAGTTCTGATTAATCTGAAATATTCTGTGAACAGCTCAAGGAACAGCGTGAGAAGGAAAGAAAAGCCCGGAAGGCCAAAGAGAACTGCGAGGAGGATGGAGAATTCGACGATCTGGTGTCCGCACTCCGATCCGGGGAGGTGTTTGACAAAGACCTGTCGAAGATGAAACACAACCGCAAGCGTCCCGTCAAGCAGAGCACAGAGAGCAGCAGAGAGAGACCCATCACCAAACTCAACTTCTGAGGAAGCTGCACGAGCGAGTGCTGCTGCCTGCTGATAGAGCTGAGATATTACACACGCGTGCAACAGCTCGACCTCAGTTTAGAACTGGAGAGGATATCCAGGCCCTGTTTAGTGCTGACTGCCAAAATACTTCTTAAGGATTTACAAAGTCTTTTCTAAACATGTAAATCAGTTGTGACAGTGTTTGTGCTGAAGATGACAGGAGTTTGTATGGTGCTTGTGCACCATAGTTCACAGAAATAATGAGCAGAAAGGGCTACAAACTGGTGCTGAAATACAGGAACACCCATTTTCACAACCATAAACCCCATTTATTTCTGTCTGCTCAGATACTGCTTACATTTTTGTTGAGTTATTGTTGGTGTACACTGTGCACTATCAAGAAACAGGCCTTGTTTTTTGCAATATGTGGTGTGCTAAACACTAAAAGTCAGTGTTTTGGAAGCAAAAGTGATTTTTGTCAAATTGTGGGATGCAGTGATACTTAATTGGACGATGTAATTGGTTTGTTTGTAATGAGTATTTCCTTTTGTTCCACTTGTAACTCAAGCACAAGCGTTTGTTTGTTAATAAACTGTCCATTCCAGACCTGTTAAAGCACAACTTTAAATCCACAAAACAACATCTT